AAGATGGACTGGAAAAATCTCCAGTTCAGATCTCAGCGTAGCTGTTGTTGGTGCACATGCTCATTCAGAAAGTCTGTCTGTAAATCTAATACAGATAAATCTCGCTTCATTTTTAAGTGATAAAACCGGAGCATCCTCACCTTAAAGATGGATCAGGGTATCTGGAATTCAATATAAGTGAAATTAATATAGAGGAGGGCAACTAATGACCTATCAGCAGTGGGGCTTTGGGTGTGTTTTGTTATAGTACTATATTTCTCTGCCTGTACTAGAGGACATTGAAGAAGTGGGATAACACTTGTACAAGTACCAGCAGTATAATTTTCTTATACTTGCTCCATAGTTTTGGATGCAGTTTCGCATGTTCCAATATTTGCACTGAAATGAACTGTAGCAGATGACTGCCCTGTGATTTCAAATAGCCTTCTGGGAAAAAGAGACTATTATAGATGAAAGAGTTCAGTTCCTATAACTTTCTGGAAAAGTCCCATCACTGTCTAAGTAGTATATTAATATGACATTTGTCATTATAGGTATCTTCCAGCAGGGTGAGTTAGCCTGGGTGGGGTATCAAGCTAACACAACTCTATGGTTGCCAGCATACAAGTGAGCTCACTGAAAGACAGATAGGGTATCCGTGCACAAAATGCACATGTGTTGCTGATACAGTCACGCTCTGGCTGAAAAAATGTTGTGATGTTATCCTCCAGAAACCATGCAGCATTGAACATTCACAGCAGAGAGCACAAAATACAGATGGACCACTAATGATTAGAGCTTCTGGGACAGCAGATGAGGTACAGCCAGACCATCCTGAACTAGGCAGCTTGTACCTTATGCTGCAGAGGAAGTGAAAATAAAACAAGGCAGTGACAACAGAAATCTCTGCCAGTTCTAATTGGGATAGGGGGAGGGAGAATTACTGCTGTCTCCAGATCTGATGCCTAATTTGTCTCTTGAGTTTTTAACAAGGCATTTATGAGGCGTGTTCAGTGTCAGAGCAGGGGTCTACTTGGACTGCTGTCAAATAGTTACTGTAAGGAACCTCCTTCAGAGTAAGAAATGTAACTGTGAAAGTTCCCTTTCTGCTTCCTAGCTGCCATACCATCCCCCTAGACCTCCGCACCATGACAACACTGGTGAGCCTCAGCAAGCTGGACCACTACTTGTCCCTCACCTGAAGCCATGCTTTGCTGTTTGTTAGCTAGGATGCTGTAACTTGGACTTACTGTTTAGAGACCTCTCTGGGCAGAAATGTCTCCTTGAATTTGCTTCTTCCTCCATAGCCTCTACCATAAAAGGCAACCATGATCCTCAGAAACAGTGGCTTGTGCTGTCTACTGAAAGTTTTTACTGAAAAATTTACCTTTTTTGAAAGTGCAGTCCCACAGAATTCATGCCCCAAAGAACAGGTAATGGCAATGTAACGGTCCTGTTTCAAGGCAGCTTAATCCCCTCTGAGAATTACTAAAAGAAATTTCTCTCTCCTGTCCCTCCATTTAAATCAGTGCTGAATATAGCCCAGTGGTTCTGCCTTGCTATATGCAGATATGAAGATAGCACTAGAGTCTTTTGTGTTTAGAAAGGTTTTACTTCACAACTGCAAGGGCAAAAGCTTCTTGGGTTGAAATCAAAGTTTAAATTCTGAAGAAAAAAATGGCTCATCAAAGAACTGGCAAAGAATTTAACAACTGGATGCCAGCTGAAGTGCCAGTGTGATTTATCAGCAGGTTCTTCTCTAATCTGATGTGAGATAATAGGAGAAGGTGTTGAAAGCAGAATCTAACTAGATACAGAACAAAAAGCATAAGTAATAGGGTTCATAAGATCATGCACACAAGGAAGTTTACATTATCTAGTAGGCAGGCCACTCTCCCCAAGAAGGTTTTCTTAGATATGTTAGGAAATCAACAGAAAAGACCAGAAGATTTTAAAAGATAAACGATTTGATACTCCTTTTGCTTTTTCTTTTTTCATGTAAGCCTCTCCATTTGAATAGTTGTAGTTTCCTTACCAACAGGCCCAACACATTGCTTAGCTGTAGTAGCTGGCAGTGCTATGGACAGAGGTTTCTTGGCAAAGATTAACCCTCAAATATGCAGAAAGCTGAACTTCCTTATGACTGAAGAGGAAGATCATTCCTGAGAGCTCACAAATTTAGTTTCCTTCTGACTATAGTGCTAAATTGTCTATCTATATTCCCCTGCATAGTGATTCATTAGAAGCATTTTACAGTAAAAGCTTCCAAAATAAAAACTAGACATTTTAACCAAAGTCGCAGGAAAATGCTTAACTGACAAAGATAATGATTTTCTAAAAGCTTTTCCTTGGAAGTGTTTTTTTATTGAGGCAGTGATTAAACTGAGTCTGCCTGAGTTATAACATGCTGCCATTGCACAACCCAAAGTCATGTTAATCAGCTTGAATACCTAAAAATACGATAGGAGCAATATCAAGCCACTTCATACAGCAAAGTTCATTTCAGGTGCTGGTCCACTGGAAAAAAGTCCATAAGTGATTAAGGAGTTATTGGTCTGTCTTTTACAGTTTGTCCTTTGCTTTTTTTATTCCATGGTAAATTACTTTAAACTTCTTAAGACAAGCCTCACAGAGAACAGTTTGGTCCAACCAATTTCCCATTCATGCTGATATCAACCCCCCATCAGATATAGGGCTTTGCCTTTGTAAGATTTCTGGTGAGGAGAAGGGTCCATTAATTTTGCTTGAGGGCTCCTCAGTACTATACAGCTGCTCAGAGGACAATTCCTGAAAACTTGTATCTGATGTAGACACTTAAATTTCATTTTCTAGAGTTTCACAGGCCCTCCAGTGAATATCCCAATCAAGAGGCTGTGAAAGTAGTGTGTTGCCCCTCCAGAACATGGTATAGCCATATAATGCAAGGCCACATGGAGATCCGTCACAGGTCCCATATGTGACAGTTACGTTGGCATGACATGGCACCACGTTTATCAGGCTTATCCCCTCAGCTGGTCCTGGAGCTGGCTGGAATATGTCTGCTTCACTGCACTGTGAAGATAAATCATAATTTCCTAAATTACCTAGTGCTGAAGCCAGCACTGAAAAAAAGCTGCTTCCAATCTTTAGGCTACGGTTTGTTTTAAAAAGGGATTGAATGTCTTACAAACAGGTAAAATTGCTGCCAGATGCAAGTACATTAGCCTTTTCCAGCTGCTTTACTGCTGCCATTCAAAATAGCTTGCTATAAATATGATTCCTTTGAGCTCTATTCTGACAAGTGTGAAGCACTATCTGGGAAGGGCCAGTGGTTTTCCATCTCCATTGAACTCAGTAGGAGTTGTGATTGCTCAGCACATCGCTGAAAAAAGTCTGGTGAAATTACCTTAAATCACACAATTATTCCTCACCTCTTACTCCTTCTCTTGCAGCCGTGGAAGGAGGATTAAGTTTCTCCACAGGCAGTTCTGCTACAGTAAAGTTTAACCTAGAGGTGGGAACAAATGTCAAAATCAACAAGTTCCCTGCTTCAGGACTGGTGACAGGTGACTTACCCAGAAGAGGGGGGTAAAACATGACAAAGATTCGAGAACCTATTTAAATAGTCAGTATCAGCTTCTCAGATGACCTAAAATGCCTTCGCTTCTTCCCTTTCCCCCGTTTCTATAAATTTCTGCCCATTGCCTAATGCCTACTGCCCTAAACAGCAAAGGTTATCTTTTGCTAAAACTAAAGAAGCTGCTTGTTATTTAAAATCTGTTTCTGGCTGAACAGAAATGCATTTATTAGGTACCTTTCCTTTGTACAATCTGTACCTGTAGTTAAGTACGTTAAACTCGTGCTAAACATATGGAGGTCTGTTGAACAATAACACAAGGTTAAAGGCTGGGTGCTTATGCTTAACAAACCATTCTGAAAGACAGTCATCATTAAAGCTACATACAATTAAACTTTTCATAATTGATGGGAAAACTGAAGAGAAAATTGCCTGTGCCTTCCACCTTTTCATTATGTAGTCAGCAGAGGCACATGAAAATCAACATTTCCCTTTGAATCTGAGCACAATTGTAAGTTTACAATACAGATAAATCAACTTTCCTGTTGTTCAAGAACTGGTGATGAGAAGAGGCTTATAAACTTAATTCTCCAGCTTGTACCAGTTTGAATCCACTGCTGGTTCCCTGAACTGAGAATGGGGCTGTTAACTACTAGAGAAGGGCTGCTTCTTAACAGCAACACTCCAGTGTCCTGTGCAAACAGTTCAATAAGAAATGGCTTTCAAACCCAAATTTGGATATAAATTTGGCTCAAATGCAGCTGAAGCTGGGACCCCACTTTAAGCTTGTGCCCCTCTGGAATATGCACACTCTGCCTGATTTTTGAACGTCCTCTCTGACCTCGGTCACTGTGCTTAGCAGCTCTCAAAAATCAGGCCATGGTGATTTTTTGCGCTCTGTAACAACATAGAACACAAGACAATCAGTCACAGGGTTCTGGTTGCGTTTCTTTTGATTAAAAGCCACATTTTCCCTTCTTGTTGCAGGTATAACAAACTGACACACTGGCATTACTTTACATGAACAAATATCTGTTATCAAAGGCTATCAAAAATATTTAAGACCTTTTAAACTTTCACATATGAAGGAGGAGGTAATTATAGCGAGTTTGATATTATATATACTAACGATTGAAGAGACTTCTATAATAATGGTGCCTACAATAAAAATAATAAAAAGCATTTGTACACTGTTTTTTACTTTGCAACGTTTGAGTATTCCTAATTTTTCTACATTTTCTCCTAGGACTTTTCTTTTGCTCAATTTATGGCATCAGTAGACAACGTTTACGTCCAACATTATCTCATGAGTATGGATGAGAAGAATGAAACCTCTCAGCAAATGAGGAAGTTGACTGAGGAGTCAAACGTAGCAGTAAACAAATTGAATGATATTCCAGAAGCACTGCAAGAGATCAAAAACCACCTTGGGGATAGAGCAGCAGAAAATGTAACGGAGAGAATAAAAATGAAAGCGAAAAAGAAGGAAAAACAAGGGAAAGATGTAGACAGAGCAGGCCATGAAGAGAAATCAGAAAACAATGAAGAACTAGCTGCAAAAGAAGAAGAAACAGCATTGGAGACTGGCAATCAGTTAATCCCAAAACCTCTGGCTCATATTCCTCTGCAAAGACTAATGGAGATAGAAATGGAGTTGGTCTACACTGATGAGGAGGACATTTTCTTTGAGTTTGCAGACCCTATGGTGTCTACAAGCACACAATCAGCGTGCCATGATTCTCAACAAGCAGATGCTCTGAGCACACCTCAAGGCAGTTCTGTGCCCCCAATTGGCAAACGGCTTCAGAAGACCCTCCAGGAAGGCAGCGCTTGCTACAGGCAGAACGACTACATGGCAGCAGCCGAGAAGTTCTCAACAGCGCTGCAGGTACGAGGTTAAAGTAGTACGGTCACCACAGCAAAGCAAATGCAAAGCTGTCATTGTACTAAGTGGGTGTGAGCATACCAAAGTGAACACTGAGCACACACCTGGGATGTGTATGGTTTAATACAAATCCTGAGATGCAATTTCACATGAAATATGAAAATTAGGAGCTTTAATTAAGAGTATCTATGATAAATAAATCACAGAAGAAGGGGGGCACTGGACTAAACCAAAAACTCTCAGATAAGTTTGTATTTTTCTTCTAAATTTTTAACTGTATTTATGTATGGAAGGAATTATGCTCCATAGGGTAGAAAAAAAAAGCTCCTCTTTCTATTCCCAGCTCTATCAGGGACAAATGATATCTCAATAATCTGGGGTGTTCCCTCTCTACTTCATATGTCCATGCATTAGCTGGGTGATGATAAATTTTTGGTTGAACAGAGGGCCAGTCCTAGTCCCTTTTCCCCTCCCTGTAGCATTTTCATCATGCACTCTGTTTCCCTTTTTTCCCTCTAAAGCCAGAAGATGGCCACTGGATCTGTGTAGAAATGCTTTGTTTTCCTGCATGAGAAAGGACAGGTCCAGTAGCAAGCAAACCCCCTTGGACACAAATTTCTCTTCAGCAGCCAGGAGTCCAAAAGCTGGGTTTTTTTTTGTGGGAATATTTCTTGCCTGCTTGAGATACTAAAGAAATAATGTGACCTTGGCTATGATTTTTGAAACTAATCTGTGATTTTCATGACTTTCTGCCTTTAATTGCTCAAACTTGAGCTGTCTTAAATGGATCTGTTCTTCAATAAGTAGATATTTCTATGTTTTCAAAAGCAGAGCCTTTTCCAGTTTCAGGCTGAGCCCCTCCAAAAGAAGGTATCAAAGACCTTTGACGTTTTAGAAAGTCTTAGCCAGCCTTGAGTTTTATCAATAGAATATGAGAAGAAAAGAGTAAAAGAGGGAGTTCCTAGCACTTTGGCAAGGTTGCAATTAATTTCACAGGAGGAGGGAAGAGAAAGGAGGTGTAGGAAAGCCCAGCAGGTGAGTCAGGGTTACATCCACCAGCCTCCTGTTTCCTGGAAGCCAGAGCTAGCAGCATTTACAGTAAAACTGATTGTTCAAAGTTGTATCATTATTCCCAGATTTCTCTAGTGCTGCTAATCTCAGTTAATTATATTGGAAATCCCTTGTATTATGACCATGTAATTCATAATGTGCCAGTAGAAGTCATGGTTCATAATAATCACATAATGGGCAAGGACTTACACGTAATCAGATTTTAGTTACCCTGTCGTGTTTCCATAATGCTGCTATAAAACCGACATAATCACAAAAAAGCACCAGTTATTTAAACATTTTTATCAGATTGATGTACTGTATCTTTCTCTCTCTCTCTTTTAAACAATGTAAGATAACAGAAATTGGATTACAATTGCTGGGAACAGACTATGATAAACTGTTTGCTTGTGTGCAGAAAGAAATGTAATAATGGCATTAGCCTCTCAATTTTTAGTAATGCTAAACCTGTTAAATAGTAGCACGCTGCAGCCAAAGGCTGCTTTCAAAGAGGTAGCTTTAGAGCATTTTGAAAACCATATCTCCAAGAGCATAGCTGTCCTATAAACCTTGAAAGATGCCCTATATCTTCACAATTAACTCAGCTGCTAACATTTACTGTGCAGATGAGAGTTTGACTTTTTCCATGATACACGATGCAAAACACCACTCTTAGTAGCTGTAAGGATTTTAAAGGCCAGTGTCTGCTTCTCAAATAAAATTAAAAAAAAAAGACACTTTCCACTTTACAGGAATATGGTTGCTGATTAGAATAGAGGGCTTGCAAGATGGACTCTCCCTAATGTTTTATCTCCACTCTGACCCCAGTCACTTCAGCTATGCACTTGACATTCTGAAAAAGGGTCCAACTATACTCATTTCCGTACTGTACTGCCAAACCTAATTCAAAAGGATTTGAAAAATACTAGATCTTTGCAATCAACAAGCCAATATCCTAGTCCTATTTTTTTTCCTACAATACCAAAGACTTTTCTTTTTTTAAACAATAAATATAATAGCAGTGAGTCAGTAAAATTAGACAGTGCCATTTTTTTTAGGCTTTTTTTTTTTCTTCCTACATTCTGCAATGAGCTGTGATGGGGACAAAAACACTCATCACTTGAGAGGAAAGGCATACTTTTCTGCTCCTAACAGGAAATAGAAAAGCTAGCTAAAAGAGATCCTGGTGAAAGCATAAATAGAGGTTAAAGAATTCCTTCCTGGGATTGTGGACAGAGTGATTGGGAAATCACAGAATTAAAGGGCTGGGACTTCTCAGAAGTCTCTTAATCCAGCTCTCCTCAGAAGCAAAAAACAGAATATCCCTGAAAGACACTTCTGTACTCTTTTTCTAAAAATCTCCAGTGAGAGGGACTTGTCATCTGTATCAATAATCTGAGAGAAAGTTTTTCCCAGTCTTCCGTGGTGCAAAATACCCCATAATGTTTTTTGTATCCTTATTTGACATGAAGAGCAATTAACCACCTTATCTGTCTGTACTTACAACCTCTTAGCATATCCCTTTTCAGTCTTCTTTAAATTAAATAAATTCAATCCTCTTAGTATTTCCTCCCAGGTCACATTTTCTAAACATCTGTATCATTTTTGTTGCTTTTCTTTGCATTGCCTCCCATCTCTCTATTTGTTCAGATAAAGACAAATTTGAGGTGGTGCAGAGAAAACTGGCAAACTTAAGATGCCGAGATTGGAACTGCGGTTGTTTTGCCCATTGCTTTTTGAAGAAATAAACAAAAAATTCCTCTGCATTTCACATGGGTAAAGAGACATGTGATATGTAACAAGCTCAAAGATTAGGAAATTCAAAGTTATGGTTTCTGGTGCAAAATGTTTACAGACATTTTTTCAGATTTAAGGAAATTAAGGCTTTAGTCTGACATTACATTTTGAGTTAGACACCCTGATCCAGAAAAGCATGTGAATATCATTAAATCTAAGTAGTATCACTACAGTTAGTGCTACCTTACATATTGCAAATATCATTCATTTCTTGGCTCTTCTTTAAGCCAAAATGTCTTTTCTAGATCCATCTATATATCCATGTTATATTATCATTCTTTTGATCATCATGTTTTTCAGATATGCAACTAACGTGCAGTTCTGAAAATATAGCATTGAAATTACTGGATTTGGGGGGAAAAAAAGGAAAATTAGTCAGAAAGGAAAATTGAAATGCTTGTAAATTTAGGGACTTTTGTATGTTGGACAGTGTGCTGTTGATTACTGCAGACCTCAGGAAGGCAGCGTTATCAAGAGAAGAATTGGTCGCTTCTCACTATTTAGCTACCTTTAAATTAATCAGGAGGGACTTAGCATTAGTCAGCTACATTATAGTTGGCCTGGACAAGCAAAAAATAATGCTCCCTTAGAGAACTCTCACTATTAGAGCTTAAAAATTAAGTACTTTCTGTTACTGGTAAGGAAAATAAGAACTGGGACAATGATCTTTGCTCTTCTACCTCCTAGCTCACTAATACAGTACATTATATATACTACATTAAGAAACACTGTAAATCTCCCTAAATTTTTGGCATCCATCTGTTGGAAGGTAGGGAAATAGGAGTTGAACATCTGGACTGGGATATGAAGGGTATGAGAAATTGCTCTTTAGCTTAAAACCTCAGTGGAAACCATATACGTATATGTATAAAATCTCTAGCCAATTATTAACAGCTTAGCTACAAAATAACATTAAACTTTTATGAGGATCAAAAGATCTTGTCTCAAACTAATCTCCTAATATCAGAGAGTGTAAAAGACTTCAGAGACATCAGTCTGTTTAAAACCTGCACAAATTTAAATTTCAGACCCTGTTGTTCTGAAAATAATCCTCCCCTGCGATTAAAAAAAAATGAATGAGAAAGGTTCATGACTGCTGTGCACAGAAAGAAGTCCACAGTATCTCGGCACACAGCTTTCTATGCTGAGTATCTCAGAGACACGAAATGCATCCCACGTGTGAGGTGAGGGCCTCAAAGAGCGAGTGATTAATTCACCAGAGTGCTGTTGTGGTGCCTTCCGCAAGCTGGAATATCTGCATTTTCCACAGATGGCTATTATGGACACCGTTCTTATGGCAGGGAGATAAACATTAGTCTTTTTTTTTTGCACACCTTGAGTTTCTAGATTAACCTTTCCTGTGGCTCTTTGCTTTGTGATTCAGTGCTTGCAGAGAAGGCTTTGTCAAGACCACGCTCCCTCTTCCAGGCAACAGTATCTGCAAAAGCAAATATTTGGAAAGTGGCTGTGGCACCAGTGCCTTGTAGACATAATTCCATACCAACAGAGAGTCAGGCAGTGTGGTTCAACCAGGCCTTCCATCATTTTTTTAATATGAGAAACAACGAATTAGTGTTTCCTATAACAACATCTCTGTGAAAAGGGGTTCCTCTTTAGTAGTCTGTCCGCTGATCGAGCACATTAAAATAGCACAGGCAGCTTTCTTAGAGGCATTGCTACATGGGCAGTCCTGGGAACACCGTACAATTAGCAACTTAGGATGTGGTCCCTGTTGTGGCCATTGGATCTGTGCTAGCTGCTGCAGAAAGGTTAGGGCACAGTCACATTTCAGCCCACCCTTCCTCCCCCAGCACTTTCTTTTTCCAGCTGAGTCCAAGAAGTCATCAATCTATGAAAGCATGTAATCCTTTGTTTTATGGAGCACAAGGGCTGGAATTACTGGTCACCCACTGGAATGAAAGGGGTATAAAACAGACTTTCCCTATCCCCTCTCACCAAGAAAATCTGTGCAAGGACAAGAAACAGTTTAACACCATGAAATACACCTCAAGGGAGATCACGTGACAGGCTAAATATTTTTAGCACCCACTTTCTAGAGCTAAAATGATTCAGACTCATGGGTTATCTACCCTTATCATCAGCAAAGTTTCTCTAAAAACTTCCTGGGAGCATTCTAGACCTTGGACAGAGAACAT